CAAAGTTTAATTTGAAAGCACCTAGAATCGTAATTGTTAAATTTGGGTCACGTTAAAACAAAGTACAGGAAAACACTCAACTCTAAAAAAAACACGATGTAATAGGTAACGGAAACACAAGTTAGAAAAAAGGCAATTATTTTAAACGTTATATTATATACATGTTCGTTATCAAAACGATCGCAAGGTCAAAGTAATTATAAAAATAAGACGATGTGGTATGATTTCCAATGAGACAAACTCTCCACAAGAGACCAAATTACAAAAGAAATCAACAACTATAATAGTTCACCGTATGGCCTCCAACAATGAGCAAAACCCATACCGCACAGTCAGCTATAAAAGCCAACCCTCCCCTATTGGTGTAACAGTACAACATCATAAGAACAAATTATAAAAATCAGTTGAAAGGGCTTAACTCATCAGATCGATACAAAGCAGAAATACATCAAACAAAAACACAGATCGGACGTTGCAGTGTACTTATACATCACACATTAACCTGCTCATTGAAATCATGCCGTCCTACACTCAAATATCAGTGGCTGTACTTCATACAGGATTTCATATAGCAACGTGATAAATAAGTCATTTATCATATATAATGCGTCCAGTGGCAAATATTACATTCACATCAGGACGGACACATGTTAATAAATACTGCATGAAACATTATTTCGTACTAGACCGCATGCCGAGTCGGATTCGTAAATGCTAGTTTACACAAGGTGTCTGTCTATGTGAAGACCTGTCACCCTAACTGGACACATTAGTCTAGCCGATCAGTTGTGATCTTACACCTTAATTCCGCATGCTTATAGTCTCATTTGACACAGCTGTGATCGAACTCATGACCATCAACACTCGAGGCTAGCATGATACAACTAGACCACCGAAGCGGTGAAATGTCTTATACGCCATTGTTTGTGGTTGCAATTACATTTATATATTGCTGTGGACAATTTGCATGGGGATTTAGGGAGCTACCATTTGATTTTTATGTGGGGGGGGGGGGGGCTAGGATGAAATTTGAAAAAAATAGGCAGGACAGGAGTTTTGGGTAAAAAAAAAGGCAGGATGAGACACTTGCAAAAAAAAAGTCAGGACGACGGTTTAGGTAAAAAAAAAAGTCAGGATAAACTTTAAAAAAAAAGGCAGGACCGAACAGAGTGAAAAATAAAAAGGCAGGACAGAGATAACAACTAAAAAAAATGCAGGACAAAATTTTTCATCCTAGCCCCCCACCCCCCCTATAAAAATCAAATGGTAGCTCCCTTAATCCACTCGTTTATGTTTTAATTTGAATTTGTACATTATCAAAACGTTAAATTTTCTGATAAGCACATTTAAAATGATAGTGACTGTAGGTTCAATAAGCCCCTTAATAAAATATGTATTTTGTATAATAATCATCGTTGCCAATCCAGGATTTTGAAAAAAAGGGTGGGTACGAAGGCAACAGTATGAGTGGTACTAATAAAAAGTCTATGCACTAACCTTATGTAGATCCATAAAAGGGTAAAAGGGGAGGTATGGTCCCCTAAATCAACATCCGATACAAATCAGTTTCTCGCAGAGTCTATATCCGTCCTTTCATTCATTCTTCATTTATTTGCGCTGTTCACATATTCCTTTTACTGATTAGATTTGCAATGAAGAAGTAGTTTTAATAGACAAGAGACATTTTTAATTGAGTGTGGCTGCATAACCTTTTACACAAATTGACAAGTCCGTTCAAAGAGGAATTGTCTTTGTCGTGTTTCAATAAATTTTGTATTCGTCATTTTTACTTTGTTCAAATGGTAAGTTTTCTGACAGGTCTGATTTTTGAATGACAACCGACAGTTCATATTAATTCACGATTTTCACTTTCTTTGATGGAGGACACCAAGGCTTCAATATTTAGTCATGCTTCAAAATGACTTCGAAATTTTAATACTGCTGAAGTGTCCAGTTTCCAATAAAGTATATGTTTACGAAGAAATATTTGTAAGAGACCATTTTTATTTCGTATGATGTTGCATCAATATTCCTGCATATCTGTTTCAAGCAATATCAATGCTGTTTTTTTTTCAAATTTTAGTCATATTTCAGTTACTGCAAAGTTAACGTTGTTCAAATATTGTTTGTTTGTTTTTTATTAGGGATGTGTTTGTATAGTTAGCATCTGGGACTATTATACTAATATGAGGGTGTGGATGGGGTCCTTCATTTCTGTATTCTTTTATTGTTAGGCCATTTTTCTCTATTCTTTATACTTTTTGCCCAATATTCTCTATTCTTTATATTTGAGCACCTCATTGTTCTCTATTCTTTAATTTTTTGGTTCATTTTTCTCTATTCTTTATATTTTTTGCCATTTATTCTCTACTCTGTAAACCCCCATCCACACCCTCTTATACGAATGGTTTTATCCATAGAGGCCCGTAATAATGTCAGGTTGACTGTGGTAGGCACTGTTTTGATTTTAGTTAAAACTGGGCACTTGACAATAATTTAATTAGTTGGTTGATAATTGTTAATAACAAGAGGTTTATTGTTGTTCAATCAACTATCTTTTCATATCTGATTGTGAATCATACTACATTTAAAATAAACTGCTTCATCGAGCGCAGCTGATTACAACCGCAGAGGTCCAACCCTGAACAGTTGGGGCAAAAATGGACAAAATACTCAAGCTTGATACAGGTCTGAATTTGGATTGTAATTAAATATTTGACACATTATAGGTTTCTGACACAGAATAAATGTAGTCAAAGAACTTGAAATTGGTTGCATGATTTGAATTTATATTCAATTGAAGATTGCTTGCTGTTGCGCAATACTTAGTAATACAATTGAGAATGGAAATGGGGAATATGTCAAAGAGACAACATCCCACTAAAAAGCAGATAACAGCCTGTTTTCAGACTATAAACAAAGAATTAGCAGAATAAATTGTGACCCCAATTTTTTTCTTTGGAAAATTGACAATTTCTTAAATCTTGAGGAAAAAGAAAATTGACCCCCCCCCCCCCCCCAAAAAAAAAAAAATTTGTTTTTTACCCCCCTCCAAAAAAAAAATATTTGAAGAGAATTTTCTTTTGAAAAATGTGGTACAAATTAAGAGACATCCATACACTTAGACAAAAGTTATTGTCTGAAAACTAGAAAAATGCTTGTTTTAGACCCTTTTTGGCCCCTAATTCCTGAACGGATTGGACAGTTACCCCCAAAATGAATCCCAACCTTCTACTTGTGGTATTGAACCTTGTGGTACAATTTCAGAGCAATCAAAATACTTATACACAAGTTATTGTCCTGAAACTAGAAAGAAGTGTAAGGGAGGTAAATCCAAACATACACAACATTGTACTTTAAATGTGTTTGGAGTACCTCCCTTACACTGCTTTTAAATTGTCCATTAACCAGGAAATCCTTGTTTTTCCCCCTTTTTTGCCCCTAATTCCTCAAAGGTTTGAGCCATAACACCCCAAAGCCAATCCTAACCATCCCTTTGTGGTATGGAAACTTGTGGTATAATTTCAGAGAGATCCATACACTGTTCCACAAGTTATTGTCTGGAAACTAGAAAAATGCTTATTTGGGCACCTTTTTGGCCCCTTATTCCTAATCCATTAGAACTATAACTAACCCTATAACCCCAAAAATCAATCCCAACTTTCCTTTTGTGGTTATAAACCTTGTGTTTAAATTTCATAGATTTCTATTTACATTTACTAAAGTTATTGTCCGGAAACCAAATGTCTTCTGACGACGACAATGACAAAGTGATACCAATTTACGACCACAAAATTTTTTGCAAAATTTTTTGCGGTCGTATAATTACTATTGACAATCCATGATCTCTGTACAATACAGGATGTGTGGTTTAATTTGGAATCCAAGAAAATAAAGGAAATCACAGTACTTTTCACTAATTGTTCTCATCTAGCTGGAATAAAATGACATCTGTTAATCTTATACAGATGATAGAAACTCGTTCATTTTTTATCTTGACGAAGAAGTAGCCAAGTGATCTCAATCACATAATCAACTTTCAATTATATTTTTAGATGCAGTGTAATGCAGAAAGTTTGTGTTCTGTAAGCAAAACAATTTGGCTGGATGTATGGATTACTGTTTAACGTCCAGTGGCAAATTAAATGCATATTCATGAGAACATGTTGATGTGATAAGAATATAAACCTTGCTTTAAACTAGAACTACACGTTGAGTTGCTTTTTAATGTGCTAGTTCACAAGGAAGACATGTCACCCTACCCAGACACATAATTCTGACTTCAGGCCAACAAGTCTTTTCTCTTACTCCTAAATGCTGCATGCTTAGCAGGAAGCAGCAAATACCAATTTTCAAGTCTTTGATTTGACCAAGACAAAGGGGTTCCAACCAATGAACTCCTGTACTCAAGGCAACCACCCTGCCACGAAACCACCTAGGTGGTAAAAAAAATATCTGAATGGCATAACTTCAGTACAAACAAATAAGAATCCATTATGCTTGATGAACAAAGTTAATAAAAAATAATAAAAGATTAGAAGAATGTGTCCATTGGACACAGATGTCCCTGCTTGTAAATCTGAGGCAATTTAACAATTTTTCAATTTATAAAAGGGCAAAATTCGAGAATAGTGAAATTGACACCACCAAAATTTGAACTTGATCTGTGTTTGGTGGTAATAAACATTGTTTGCAAGTCTAATAATATTTGATTTAGGCAGACTAAAGTTAGAGTGTGGAAACAGCAAATTTGCCAATTTTTTCATTTATAAAGGAACATAACTCAGGAACAGTGAAATGATGCCACCCATGTTGGAACTTGATCTGTGTTTGGTGGTAATTAGCATTGTGTATAAGTTTCATAACATTTAGTTGAGGCAAACTAAAGTTAGAGAATGGAAACTAATTTTGTGACATAAGGAAAGGACGAATGTACAGACAGACAAGGGTAAAACTTAATGCCCCCTCTGCCGCAGTGGCGGCATCAAAATTAGAAACTGTTCTTTCTTTATCATTTTATTGACATTTAATAGGATACAAAACAATGATATTTACAAATTTTTCGTCATCAAATATAACAAACATTATCTTGAATGCATCTCAGTTCTAGCTTGTCATATAATAGCACCATCTATTATGTTTCTTGGATTTTTCTGACAATGCTATAGTTTAAGCGAACACATGCTGGTTTTTAGCAATATCCTTCATGGACATTTTCTCTCAACACATGATTTGCCGCCTTCTTCAAATTCCTGCTTTGAAATCCACATTTGTTGAAAGGAACCCTGCAAAAGTACAAATAACCCATTACTGCATCATTTTAATCATTTTTGGTTTATTTATGTCATAAAGGAATATTCATTCAATTCTAAACTTTAAGCAAGTCTTGTAATGGGCGACTGTCTAGACAAAAAGATTGCATAAAACTAAAAAAAGACCTTCTCTGAACAAAATGAAAATTTTTTGAAACCTGGCTTGCATGGGTTTATATTAAATTTCATGCTACATAGGTCAAGATGTAAATCATCCAATCTCTAGAGCTAATCAACACTGATCAAATTAATGGGGCATTTTTTATTTAAAATATTATGAAATCAGTAAAAGAAAAAACTGTATGGAGAGGTAAAACACCTATCAAAGTATTAAGGATGTTCGCTACTCTGTTTCAAACTAACAAGCTTTTTGAAAGACTGTTATAAATCAATAGTTTATAAATAAAGGAACCGAAAAAGCAGAAAAAGATGAAGGGTACATGTGCTTGTTTTCAAGATATAAGCCATTGTAAATTTGGCGTGAAATGATTCTCTCTAGACTTTTCATACATTTAACATTGGCACCTTTTTTCTTTCAAACTATGAAAAAATAACAAGGATTAATCATTTTATAAGATTTTCAAATATGGCCTATTAAAACTATATGTAATAATATTATGAAAAGAAAAGTAGGGGTTAGCAGGCAAAATTTTTTATTGGCAATAGATGGATAAAACCAGAGGATTCCGAATATCTGGCAAAATTTCAAAAACAAGAGTAGCAAACATCCTTAAATATTATAATTCAAAATTTTTTGGATGCAATTATTTTTTATGAATCTTGACAACTGAAGATAATGTATGATTAATTACTGTTGCAATAGGAATTACAGAAAAGAGTGAAAATGCATGTTATCGATGATATGATATTTATCTTGTCACATTGTTAAGATTATTACATTAATTTCTGTATTAACAGTAAATTGTTGAATCTCATCACTTAACAAGTCAAGGGAACTAATCATCCTCTTAAATCTATAGACAGGGAAGTCAAACTTTATTAGAAGAAGGGGATATTTAAGGAAATGTCCAGATCCATGAAACATTAGTAAACTGCACAGTGTGGATCGACAAATTATATTGCTAGCAATAGGGAATTTACAGAAAGAAATAAAGCAGCTATAATTATATTAGAATATATAATTTTTAACACTTTCAGAAATGCCCCAGCTAATTTTTACATCTGCAGAAATAGAAAAAAGTCACTCTGACTTAAATGAGGGTTAAGCCTAAAGTCTTGGATTTCTGACTTGAAAAAAATCTGAATAGTTTTCAAAGAAACCATATATACCATTAGCACCACCTCTTTAGAAAGGGAAATAACTCATCATCCAAAAGAAGGGAGAGATAACTTTCTAAGAAGAGAGATACAACAATTACCAGAAAAGATAGATTCGATGTTCTTCCTTATAAAGTGATATATCAGGGGGGGGGGGGGGGGGGTTGTTGTTCCAACCCAGCATAAAAGAGGGGGGTTCAACTATATGTCCCCATTCAAAAGCATTGATCGTCAAAAAAAAAAGGGGGGGGGGGGGTCCAAAAGATAAAAGAACTTATCAGAAATGATCAGATCCTCCTCTTTAGAAATACAAATAATTCTGTAAAGGGTCATACTCTGAGACAAGATCACTGTCTTCTTTAGAGAAGGGCAATTATATATATAACCCAAGTGAGGACAAAAGCCACATTAGATTCATTACCTAAAGAAAGAGTTCTAACTTTGTATAATTGGAGGTAACACAAATTCTTCATTAGTCATGAACATTTAAGTACATGTATACCTTAAAATCACATTTGATCACATTTTTGTAAAAAAAAGAGCAACATGTAAAATTGTAGAGTCCACTCCCAAATAGGAGAAATAACTATATAAACAAGTGAATCTGTGAGCTACTGCTCACTAATGATACCCCCGCCCCGCTAAAAGAATAAGGTAAACAGGAAGTTGTTGAGTGTTGAATCTGAAAACGCATCACACGGTATAGTTGACTCATATGAACCCTGAAACCAAATTTCAGAAATAATTGTATTGTAGTTCCTGAGAAAAATGTGATGAAAATTTTCAACTTGGCTATCATGTGTAAAATGATACAAGTGTTCGTTAAACAGGAAGTTGTTGAGTGATGAATCTGAAAACGCATCACACTGTATAGCTGACTTATATAAACCCTGAAACCAAATTTCAGAAATCCTTGTAATGTAGTTCCTGAGAAAGATGCGCCGAAAAATATTCATGGGACGGAAGGACGGACTGACGGATGGACGGACAGACAGAGGTAAAACAGTATACCCCCACTTTTTTAAAGCGGGGGTATAATAAAGGGAAGTTATACTTACAAGAGAAGCCAGAATAGATCCTCCAATCCAGCTACTGAATCTTCTCTCTGCACTACCAGTCGTTCCTGATATTAAGGGGAAATAACTCTATAAATAAAGGGAGGTAATACTTACAAGAGAAGCCAGGATAGATCCTCCAATCCAGCTACTGAATCTTCTCTCTGCACTACCAGTCGTTCCTGATATTATTTTCAATCTCATGCTCTGAAAGAAAACAAGGGTAAATAAAATGCTCTGAACAGTTGGGGCAAGTATGGACACAACATTCAAGCTTGATACAGCACTGAATTTGGATTGTAATTAAATATTTGACACAGCATAGGTTTCTGACACAGAATGAAAGTGGTCTAAGAACTTGAACCCCCTTATGATTCATCACCCCCAAACTCAATCCCAGCCTTCCCTTTGTGGTATGGTACCTTGCAGTACAATTTCAGAGAGATCCATACACTTGAACACAAGTTATTGTCTGGAAACTAGAAAAATGCTTGTTTTTTGGCCCCTTTTTGGCCCCAAATTCCTAAACATTTAGAGCAATTACCCCCAAACTTAAACCCAGCTTTCCCGTTGTGATATGGAACCTTGCAGTACAATTTAATAAAGATCCATACACTTACACACAAGTTATTGTCCTGAAACTAGGAAAATGCTTGTTTTTTTGCCCTTTTATGGCCCCTTATTCATAAAATTTTGAGGGAATTACCCCCAAAATCAATCACAGCCTTCCCTTTGTGGTATGGTACCTTGCATTACAATTTCAGAGAGATCCATACACTTACACACAAGTTATTGTCTGGAAACTAGCAAAATGCTTATTTTTGGCCCCTTTTGGCCCCTTCTTCCTAAGCGTTTTGGTCAATTACCCCCAAACTCATTTCCAGCTTTCCCTTTGTGATATGGAACCTTGTAGTACAATTTCATAAAGATCCATACACTTACACACAAGTTATTGTCCTGAAACTTGAAAAAATGCTTGTTTTTTTTGCCCTTTTATGGCCCCTAATTCATAAAATTTTGAGGGAATTACCCCCAAAATCAATCCCAGCCTTCCCTTTGTGGTATGGTACCTTGCAGTACAATTTCAGAGAGATCCATACACTTACACACAAGTTATTGTCTGGAAACTAGAAAATGCTTATTTTTGGCCCCTTTTTGGCCCCTTCTTCCTAAGCTTTTTGGTCAATTACCCCCAAACTCATTTCCAGCTTTCCCTTTGTGATATGGAACCTTGTAGTACAATTTCATAAAGATCCATACTCTTACACACAAGTTATTGTCATGAAACTAGAAAAATGCTTGTTTTTGCCCTTTTTGGCCCCTAATTCCTAAAATTTGCAGGCAATTACCCCCAAAATCAATCCAAGCATTCCCTTTGTGATATGGAACCTTGTGATACAATGTCAGAGAGATCCATACACTAACACACAAGTTATTGTCATGAAACTAGAAAAATGCTTGTTTTTTGCCCCTTTTTGGCCCCTAATTCCTAAAATTTGGAGACAATTACCCCCAAAATCAATCCCAGCATTCCCTTTGTGATATGGAACCTTGTGATACAATGTCAGAGAGATCCATACACTAACACACAAGCTATTGACATGAAACTAGAAAATGCTTGTTTTTTGCCCCTTTTTGGCCCCTAATTCCTAAAATTTGGAGGCAATTACCCCCAAAATCAATCCCAGCATTCCCTTTGTGATATGGAACCTTGTGGTACAATGTCAGAGAGATCCATACACTTACACACAAGTTATGTCTGGAAGTTACAAAAATGCTTATTTTTGGCCCCTTTTTGGCCCCTAATTCCTTAACTGTTGGTACCATAACCCCCAAAATCAATCCCCACTTTCCTTTTGTGGTATTAAATCTTATGGTAAAATTTCATTGAGATCCATTCACTTAAACTAAAGTTAGAGTGCGAAAACTAATGTGTCTTCGGACAACGACGACGACGACGCCAACGTCATACCAATATACGAGCACAAAAAAATTTTTGCGGTCGTATAAAAATGAAAACAACACTTTATAAATTTCATGAGTCCGTCCAGCGTTTTTCTGGATTTACTTTCATCAGGAACGCTCAAAGCTTAAAAGTTCAAAAGTTCAGTAGATAATGGCTTATTAATGTCTAGTGTTAGAACTTTGGGAAAGTATCAAAACATATATAGCCCAGTACAGGAAATTTTCACAAAAGGGTTATTTCCCTAATTTTGCAATTATGATGAAATCTTGGAAGAGAGGTTGAAGTAATAATTAGGTCTGGCATTGAAAATCATGAAATTTTAAATCCCTGAAAATGAACATATTTACAGCATACTTAATCACCTTTAAACCACAATATCTTGAATATCTTCCATATGAGACAAACAGACTTAACAAAAATGTTTGTATTTTCATTTCATATGCGGGGCAGCATTTAGAATTTTGCTAAATAGTCAAAAAAGGTAAAAAGTCTAATTCCAGCAATTCTTTTGTGTGACTGAAATGTTAGATTTTGCATCAAAGGGGTCAATATTTTTATTGATTGCATGAACTTGACTAAAAATATCACAAAAGACATATTTAACTAAATGTCTTACATGGCATATTTGACTATTTATGTCTTACATAGCATATTTGACTAAATATGTCTTGCATGGCATATTTGACTAAATATATCACACATGTCATATTTGACTAAATATGTCTTGCATGGCATATTTGATTAAATATGTATTACATGGCATATTTGACTAAATATGTATTACATGACATATTTGACTAAAATGTCACAAAAGGCAGGTCTTTGACTTAAATGTCATAAATGCCATATTTGACTAAACATTAATGAAATATTTAGTAAAATATATCATGTGTGGCATGCATATTTGACTAAAATGTCACAAATGTCATGTTTGACTAAATAAATCACACATGGCATATTTGACTTTAATGTTGGAAATTGAATATTTCAATGATCCTTAGTATAAGAAACAACCTAATCCTCCAAAGAATTTTGGAATCAAGAGACATTAATAACTTAAGATACATATTTACTTATATCTGAAATCTACTTATCAAAACGAAGCATTTTCTCCCAACATTTTTTGCACTTTACCTCAAAGAATACTAAGTTCAAGGACCTAAAAGCAACATTTCTTCAATGAAATATGAAATATTATTACTGATGATTGACAGACAATTGTTTTGGATTATCAGAAGTATTTCAATATATAAATATTTAAGATCTCTTTTAGTATTGAAATACGCCCATTCAATCTATGTTAATCATGTACTTTATTGAAGACAAAAATATCACATTCTTAACAGAGAAAAAAAACCATCAAGCAGTATCATAAATAACAAAATGGAAAACCAACAAAAACCATAAGCTCTCAAGTGCAACAACTGTGTTTCTTTTTATAAATAGAGTTCATGATTCTTCACGAGAATAATTAGTTTAAATCTTTCAAATCTGACAGAGTGTTTTGGCAGGACTCTCTGCAATATTTCAAATCACGGATATCCACATGTGATCCATTTCTGCTTTACTTGTTCCATTTCAATCATAAAATATATCTGCTGTCTGTTTCAATTTGGCAAATCTACAACATCGCGTGTATCCAGACTCAATATACTCTTATGTAATGTTGTTTAAAAGTCTCAATAGTTGGCTTAAAGATGCAATTTCCCCTTGATCAATCATTGTTCTTTCAGATACTTGAAGATGTTTATTGAAAAATTATAAGAAAAGGAAAAGTCAGTGCATGCATCTTTGTAACTATTTGGCACCCATCGAGATAATATTTAAAATCAGTCTTTTTCATTTGCCATGGTTAAAGGATTATCTGGAAATTTTATTATCCTCGTTCTTAACAGGCATTTTTATAAAATGAAGATGACTGATTGATTGCTGGTGCTTGAAGCCACTTTAAGCGCATTTTACTACACCGTGGCGCCCAGATAAGCCAGAATACACCAAGAGAACCACCAACCTTGGGCAGAAAATTAATATTTTTTCAGAACGACATCAAAAAGGGAGTTTCTTTTTCTTCTTCTACTTCTTTTGCATTATTTTAATAACATAAATCCATTAAAATTAGTAACGCATAACAGAAAAAAAATGGACCTATAATTTCCAATAAATGGGCCTCATTTGATAAAAGATAGCTAAGTCAGGTGACAAATGAACTGACAGAGGAAAGCGATATTTTGGCCAGCTGTAAAATTGGGCTGGATATTTTAGGCCACACATTTTTTTGTACTTTTTAGTTATACCAGCCTTTTTAAAGTCTTGAAAAAGAGGTGGTCCAAAGGTTTTTCCACTACAATTTGCAGAGGACCAACACAATTTTGGTATTTTACAATAGAAATAATAGGGAGGACCACAAGGGGGCAAAGATGTTGAGAACTCGGCCTTTCAAAGATTTGCATAAGTTTTGGCATATCAAATATTTTGGCGAAAGGCATCACTAAAGTGAAATAAATTGTCTACAGGTGTGCACACGCTGAAATGTCTCGCCTTCTTTACTGACCATTGATTTTATATTGATAGTCCTAAATATAAAGCTTTACTAAAAGTATCACATAAACTTAACATGATCCAAGAAAATGAGGTCAAGGTCAGATAAACCAAACAGAAAAATACATGTACACCTTACAATCATTAAATACACCAAATATAGTTGAACTATTGCTTATAATTTCTAAGAAACAGACTTAAACACTAGAGGAAAACTAAACATTGACCAATGAACCATGAAAATGAGGTCAAGGTCAGATGATACCTGACAGACAGACAAATACACCTTACAATCATTCCATACAACAAATATAGTTGACCTATTGGTTATAGTTTAAGAATAACAGACCAAAACACAAAAACTAAACACTGAGCAATGAACTGTGAAAATGAGGTCAAGGTCAAATAAAACCTACCAGACTGACATGTACATTGTAAAATATTTCAATACACCAAATATAGTTGACCTATTGCATATAGTATTAGTAAAAAGACCAAAACACAAAAACTTAACTTTAACCACTGAACCATGAAAATGAGGTCAAGGTCAGATGACACCTGCTAGATGGACATGTACACCTTACAATCATTCCATACACCAAATATAGAAGACCTATTGCTTATTGTATTTGATATATGGACTTGACTATGAAAACTTAACCTTGTTCACTGATCCATGAAATGAGGTCAAGGTCAGATAAAA